AAGCTAGATACAACTGTGAAAACCAAAAGTGTAATTGTTTTTTTTTGGACATTGTCAGGTTTTTATAGGGATTCTTTACAGTAGATGTTTGTGACTTGTTGGCGATAAATGTCAACAATAGACAGACAGCACACAATCCACTTGTTTTAAAATATATTCAAAACAAGTCAAACGTATGTACAAAAATTCATTACACTATTGTTTATCAAAGTTTTATCCAAAGCTTTAAATAATTCTCTTTCTTGTCAACACTCCACACAGACTAGTTCAGTTACTTTAGAACTCAATTGACAAAGACAAATTATTTTTCTCTACTCTGTTTCTTACAGCACAATCTGCGATAGATTCACTTATGTTATGCTGTGGGTTACCGCAGTTGTATCTAGAACTTTATCTGCATGTATTTATAACACGTGACCGAAATATCTAGCCCTCTAGTGAAAAAATATTACACACAGTGAGAAAAACTTAGAAGCTTCGATGACATCAGCAGTATTATGAAAGCCTAGTTCAACAATTAAACTGCATTCACAACCTACTACTCATACAGAGTTACGTAATGAAACTTGTCATAACTATCACTTTTAAAACTATTAACTTTTAACAGTCTTGTATGTCAAACATATGTATGTTTGACTTGTTTTGAATATATTATTTTAAAATAAATGAATTGTGTGCTATCTGTTTATTGTTGAAATTTAGTGCCAACAAGTCATAGATACCTACTGTAAAGGCTCCGGCCCTATAAAAAGCTGACATTGGCGAGCCAGCCAGGATACTACAGTGGTAAATGGCGGTAAAAAAAAGATGTGAATGACAGTGGAAGTAGGCCTATATAGGCACAATTGTAGTGGTGGTAAAAATAGTGTAGAGATTACAATCACACAATATAACCATGTCATATTAAATGGACAGAGAGAGAGAGGTGAGTGACTTGGGCTAAATGATAGCAATCTACAAAAGTTTATTAAACAACAACTAGAGAGAGAAGAGCATCAACAGAGAAGAGAGAATAAGTGCACAAATTGAGAAAGAAGAAAAGGAGAGAGAGGAGAGATTGGAAGTAGAAATAATAAGAGCACAAATTGAGAATGCTAAGCTCACCCAACAGAAAGATGAAATATCCTAAAATGACAATGGGGACAGGGCCAGCTACCCTGAGCTGCCCAATTTTGATGAATTAAAAGATGATATGGATGCATTCTTGGAGAGGTATGAAAGATTCACCCAAAGTTAGAAATGTGACAAAGGCAACTAGGCAATCTGTCTTGGCCCACTTTTCACAGAAAAAGTCCTACAAGTGTATGCAGGCATGATGGCAGGAGATTCCATGGATATAAAAAGTTAAAAGTGGCATTGCTGAAATACTATGAACTTACCAAGGAAGGTTTTCACTGAAAATTCAGAGAAGTCAAACCTGACACTGGAAATACTGTATTTCAATTTGTGGTAAGTCTATAACGACACTTCACAAGATGGACTGACATGGCCAAGTGTGAAAATAGTGTTGAAGGACTGGCAGATCTACTACTAATATATACTGCAGTCACTACAAGAGCTGAAGAGAAGAAAAAGCAAGCAAGACATCAAGCCCCTTCAAGTATCAAAAAGTGACTCCCAAATGTTAGTCTACAGGAACTGAAGAAAATGGAAAAGAAAGACCATTCATTGCAGAAACTTTGGGACAGTGCCTGAGAGAAAGTCAAGAATAATACAAAATGGAAAGGGACCTATAGAATAGAGGACCAAAAAGAAGTACTGTACCGGACCTATCTAAGCAGTTCTGCTGTAGAAGCTGAACACACGAAAGGCAGTCAGAAGTACTTCCATGACAAGGAAGTCAAGAAGGTCAAGGATTGACATTTCAAGGTTGGACAAAAGGTCTTAGTTCTGCTACTCACGGATGACAACAAACTCACCTTGCATTGGAAAGGACCTTTTGAAGTACAGGAAGTTATCAACAGAATGTACTATAAAGTGAAAGTGGATGGGAAGACAAAGGTCTACCATGCCAATCTGTTGAAGAGCTATTTCAAGAGGGAAGAAGACCTAACAGGTGCAGCTACTGAGGCACAGATGGACATGTCAGGTGTAGTTGTCATAGATGCAGAACCTGAAGACAGTGACATTCTCATAGAAGATGAAGACCTGCTAGACCTAAGACCACTGGGTGCAGATTAGACATACAAAGACATCAACATGAATGAAGAACTGACTGGCAAGCAGAAGAAAGATCTAGAAGAGTCACTGTGCTAGTATGCAGATGTCTTCACAGATAGAGCAGACAAGAATGACCTTGTGCAACACAAAATCAAGACCATGACCAGGGATCCTGGCAAGGTCAAGGCCTACCAGATGAGAGACTAACAAGGAGACTGCAAATGTTGGTGCAGACTATATGAGGAGACTTTGTGTATGAACTGAAAACAGTTTTTGTTTGTATTGTACAAAAATATTGGATATATTTTTCATGAAGAGGGCTTATTTTTAGATATACGTGACTGTTTGATTTAAATTTAATAAGATGGTTATGACTTAGATAGTTTTAAAGCATGAGTGTTAAATTTAGTATTTTTAGAAGCATTAATTTATCACAGGTTTGCTTACATAACTGTTAACGAATCATTTGTTTTGTAGTTCAGTTGTTGTGAATTGACCTCATGTTACTCAAACCTTCTAAATCTTGTTGCTTTAAGTGAATATTGTTATATCATAAGGTGTTGTAGTTTGTAGAAAGTTCTATGCCTCAGTCGGGCAATATATACAGGGTGTCCCAGAAGTCTGGACCCATAGGGAAAAATACCCAATTTATTCTTTATTTATGTATTATTCAAATTGTATGCAGTTAACAGCCATGCACACATCAATTCTTGGTATACTGTGCTATCAGGGTATTTTCTTTCCTGAAATATGTATAACTAACATAAGAAATGTGTTTGTTTAACTTTGAGAATATAATGTCTATTTTCCATATGGGTTCAGACTTCTGGGACACCCTATATATATAGGTGACCAAGATAGCGGAAGTAAGAAAGTTAGTGAAAGTAAAAAAGGAAGTTAGACTGCATGTGAGATTAGCCATAATGGGCAATTTCTAAAGTGAGTTTCTCAGCTTGTATTATAATATCAGAGATAAAGATGAATAATTTGTTTTGCCATTTGGATTATAAAGTAACTGAACCAGCTTATGTGGACTTTTGATGTAAAAGAGAATTATGTAAAGCTCTGGATACAACTGTGGTAACCTACAGTAAGTGAATTTATCACTGATTGTATTGTGATAACAGAGTAGAGGAGAATAATTTATCTTGTCAAAGGGAGTTCTAAAGTAATTGAACCCATTTTTGTGGACTTTGATGAAAAAGAGACAATTATCTAAAATGATAACCAATAGTGTAACTATTTTTTGTTCATATGTTTGACTTGTTTGAATATATTATTTTGAAATAAGCGAATTATGTGCTGTCCGTTTATTGTTGAAATTTATTGCCAACAAGTCAGACACCTACTGTAAAGAATTCAGCCCTATTAAAACCTGACAGAGATGATCAACCCGAATTCCAGAATGTCGCATTATTTAGTAAGGTTTGAGGTTTATTAGAATCAAAATATATTTTCTTTTTATTGCAATTGACATTTTGTTTTTGAGGAAAAACCCCAGTCTGTTAGTGAAATTCTCTTATGCACACTGTACACATGTTCATTTATTTATTTACAGCCCTGATTGTAACATGTTTCCAGGAAGCTCACCTCCAAGAAGTTTGCATATTAGCACTGTTTGTTGTAAATTTGTTCACAAATTTTTTAGAATTCACCTTCAACAGGTTCATATGTCATATGTAGTTCTTGAGGTCCACATATTAGCTGTATGTGATGTCACTCTACTTAAATAATTTTATGTAATTTATACCATAAGGAATTTCATATGTTAACATTCCTTGTTGTTAATTTGGTCAAATATGTATCTGTTGTAGAATTTATAGGTTATAGTTTTTATGGGTACAAGATTCTGCCAGGTTAAGCTGGTATCATCAGGTACAACAACTACAATCAGTGTATTCATAGTCTAGATAATGTCCAAAACTATTGGATGGATGCATTGGTATTTGATTAGTTGAGCTTAATAAGAATGCAGAACTTAAAAAAGATGTTGAAAGGGGTCAGACAATTAATGCTGTTTTTTTATGCATGAGGAATCATAAAATCAACTAAAATTTAGCCAAAGTATTATATATATATGAAAATAGAAATTATATCGAAAGAAAAATTGTGGAAGATCCATTTACTTCAAAGGTTGACAAACCTGAAACATCATTGAAGTTCAATTTAAGCTGAACTCTTCTCTGACCTTACGTGCTGTGAAGGGACTAGGAACTCCTGTATGTGTTTCTCTCTGATCAATCATTGGACTGAAGAGGACATGTGAAAATGTCAAAAATTATATTCCAATCAATTTGGTGTTCTGAAATAGTGGTTTAAAACATTATTTTAGATTTTACGTAGTATATATATATATATATATATATATATATATATTACCTAATAAACTTAGAACAAAACAGCTTAAAATATCTTACATTCCTGAAATTTCACATGATAGCACTCTTTGCTGTGAATTTCTTGAAATGTCATTTGCAACTCAATTCCAGGTAGTTCCCATGTGAACACTGTTTGATGTCAATTTGTTTTGTCAGCTATTAAATATCTTCAACCTACTTCTGTTTTATGAAGTCATTCACCTTCCCTTTTGTTTTCAGCTATATGATTTCAGGACATGTATGTTTGAAAATGTTTTATATCCTTATTGACATTGCTTATAACCACAACATTTCATGTATGATCTGCTCTGTTGTTTAAGACAAAATCTCTGTGTGAACAAATATTATATTTTTTCTTCAGAATTAACTTGCTATTATTTTTTGATATAGGCTTTTCAGGAATTGCCCTGAAGCATTACAGTTTAGGTATATATTTATATAATTATTTTTTTCTTCCTACAGTGCTGGCTGAATGTTGAGAAACGGATTACTAAACAAGTAAAAAGTAGGTTGTGTGAATTTCAAGAAAGACGTTATAGCTAACTTATGTTTTAAGTTAATAGTTATATATCTTTATAACATTATTATTGAAGTTTAAGAAAAATTCTGTATCATATATAAAATGTTCACAAAATAGCATTCATTAAAAGATGTAAAAAGTTTTACTTCAAGGCCTCAAGAAATTTTGTTTTGAAGGTCATTGTATGTATGTAGTTTTTATGAATTTATAACTTAATATTTATGCAAATAATATAAGTTTTAAAATAATTAGTTTAAGAAAATGGTACAAATAACATATTTTGACTTGATAATGAGGATAATTTGATAACATATTGAAAGACTCGTGTGACTGCTTATAAATTTGGTTAATTAACCTACATGTTGATGAATTTAAGAAAGTTTACCTTCATTAGTTTGTATTTCTTGTTGAAACTTAATCGTACAGTTTTGACTTATAGGGAGATTATTGATTATTTCTGACTTCTTTTACTGTGTGATTTTTAATTGTAACTTAATCTATATGTTTGGCATTCATTGTTTTAGATGTTTAAAAGTTATTAATGTAGTATTTTATAATGATTCTCAGCTTGTAAATAAGTAATTTCATCCACTTTAAAATTTCTCTACATCTTTCTCTCTCGTTAATTAGTAAATTCCTAAAAATACTATTGTGATATTCCTAAGCTTATTCACACTGTAATAGTTAAAAAGAATATTGAAAAGTATACATACACACAACACATACATTTGCATGTGTACAAGTGCTTTTTATATATGTGTGTGTATTTATACATCTGCATGCAAGCGCATGAAAAAAAAAAAACTAAAAGATGCCATTTCTACATTTTATTACATTTGAAATCAGTACTTGTATATAAATATTTTAATGCTTAAATAAATAAAGAGAGTTAAATGACAATTTCAATGGAAGCCTTTTCTGATACGGTACTTACCTCCTCTCACAAGCTATTCTCGTTCAGTGCTGCCCTTTATATGTGAACTTTTTCTTTATGCATGCCACAAGTCTTCCATTCCCCCCTATTGGAATTACAAGATTCCAACATCTCCTTCATGCAAATCATCATGCATCATCTCCTCACCAATAGGAGCATGACATGCTTACGTGACACATGTGACTCCCTCTACACTCCTCTACCAAACTATCACTTCTCGTTTGGCAGCTTTTGTGTTCAGACGAGCTTTTTTGTTTGTTATAAGATTAACTATCAGCTTAAGTTTCCTCACGAGGTGGTTTTCTTTAATTTATTTAATTTTCATTATGACCGTTTCTTCAATATAACAAATTTTATCATTAATTCCCATTGCATTATTCTTTTTCACCACTCGAATTTGGTGAACTCTTATTCACATTGAATTCCAAAGTTCTTGCGTTATTTCTTAGGCCTCAGATGCAGGCAACCTGACAGTGAATTTTCCGCATTTATCCACCGTCAGATTGAACGTTGCATAGGCTAACCTTTGTTCTCAGGCCTCACCCCAGTTCCTCATCAGCAGGCAAAATCCATTCAGAACTGACAGGGATTTGGACCGTCCATTTCCACCTCCTGATTTTACTGTACCTTCCTGTTCTTCAATCGTTAGGTCTAACTTGGTCTTTTTGGATTTGTTTCTCAGGTATGTGGCATTTTATCCCTTTCTCCTATTATTTGTGACCCAAGGCATTCCTTACTACATGACCAATCTTCCTACCCTTTTTGTTTTCCTTCCTCTGATATTTGGGTTCATGCTGATTAATGTACCTCACAATTAAGCAATGGGTTTAACATGCCTCACCCCCAGCAGGCTTTAGATCAGTTCGCACTTTCCGACCATTGTGCTTACTGACCCTTTTTGGACCAACAATTGTTAGGTTTAGTATTGCCTGTTTAGGGGGGTAGCTCCCAAATCACCTGTCAGTTTGAGGCTTTCCACAGAAATCCTGAGAGGTTTCTGGGAATATCCTCTCCCTTCTTTCCTCCACACTAGCTCGTTTGTCATCTTCAGTTCTGGCTTAGTGTGTGTGATTTCTCTGTTGTTGGAATCTTTTAGATCGTGATGCAAATTTTGCTCAGGTTCATTGCTTCGGGATTGTTGCAATATTGTTGTACATTTGTTTCAATCAGAGCCCCATATGCCTCCAATTATCATTTCCCATCCTTCCACTTCCCAACCCTTACCTGTCCCTTCTCCTTGGGGTAACTCTTCTCGTTGTTTTTGTTTTTTGAGGACATACCTCATGTCACACAAGTACCAGTGACTACCCAGTGCGGTCTGTTCCGATGGGAGCTCAGCTTGCCGATTTCTTATTGCTGGGGTTATTTCTTTAAGAATCAACGAGTTCTTCAGGTTTTTTTCAGAAGGATTCCTGATCCCCTTCCTTTCTCCACCTTCTGTGTTTCTTTCCCTCCTGGGAATCCTATGACCAGTCAGTGTCTATCAGAAGTGGTTTGGGAATTGCTATCTCAGCAGTCATCGAACCTGTCCTACATTCTTCGATAGGTTTTTATTCCCAACTTTTGTTGTTCCCACAAAAAACAGGGACTGGAGGCCAGTCATAGATCTATCTCACGTCAACAGCTTTGCTCATTTGACCCAATTTACCATGGAGTCTTTTATTACTTGGAAGTAGGCTTTTTCTTTGGGTTTATGAATGACCACAATGGATCTCGCCAAGGTTTATCACTTCGGTCCCATCTTTATCTTTGCTTTGTCCATTTTGGGGTGGTTTATCAATCTCGTGCACTAACAAATCGGGTTTGCTTCAGCCCCTTATGTTTTCTTTTGGGTAATCCGAGCTTTTGCTTGAAATCTCCATGCTCTGGGATTGAGTTTCTCTCTTACGTAGATGACTGGCTTCTTCTGGCTCATTCTGAACTGGAGTCAGCCAGTCATACTCGGCACCCCCCCTTTAGTGGCTGCTCAAGAAGTCCTTCCTCAGACCTCATCAATATCTCATATTTTTGGGGGTCTTCTTTGACACTCATATCAGTCAGGCCCAGCCTTATCCTGTCCAATTTCGTTCTAAGGACTTGTTAGTTTGCCATGCCCTTTTAGTTTCATGACTTAGTGTTCGTGAGGTTCTATTTCTATTGCCTTTGGGGATGTGGTCATCAATGATATCACTGGTCCCCCTCGGTTTTGCCCATATGAGATCCCTGGGCACTTCACGATTAATGGAATTTTGTTCAGGATCCTCTTTCCACCCCAATTTCCTTTCCTTTTTTTCTGTAACACAATCATTGGTAGTTGGACAAAGCTCATATGTTGGTAGGTGTGCCGCTTCCTCCCCATATCCAGATCTACATCTTTTCATGGACGCATCCCTTCAGGGATGGGGGAGGTGGCATGGGTCAATCACCAGAAGGTTTCAGGCCATTGGTCTGTGTATGAAAGTGCTTTGGATATCAATGTTCTTGAACTCCTAACTGTACATCAGCTGTTGCATCACTTCCTTCTTCTCGCCTGACATTGTCTGGTGATGGTTCATTCAGACAATTTTATGGTCCAGAGATCTCTGTTTTCGATTGTTGGATCTCTTATCTAGGGCCCAGCACATCACATTCATTTTATTGCATGTTATGTGCTGGGTGCTCTCAATCTGGTCGTGGATCGTCTTTCATGCCCTGACCGGATATATCCCACAGAGTGGTAGTTTTCAGGGATCTTTGCCATATTATCGCCAGCCTCTGGCAGTCGATTCCTTCAGCCAGAATTAGTCACACAAGTATCTTTATGTGTAACCACCAATCTGATTACTTCATCGGGTGATTTCTTTCATCCACTCCACCCCTTGTCAGGTCCTCCTGGTTGCTCCTTATTGGCCAGCTCAGCCTCAGTTTCCATGGTCTTCATGCCTGGCTTTTGTCTAGTCCTTGGCGAGAAGATCCAGATTCCCACGTTATTCCTTGTTAGCTGGTTCCATCTGTCCATCTTCCATGTAAGTGTACCCATGCAAGTAGAAGGTATTCTGTTATTGGTCTACAACTAGGTGAGTTTCCCACTGACTGGCGTATTATGGTTCGTGTGGTGGAATTTCTAACCTAGCTCTTTGACAGTGCATCTTTGGTCTAATTGCTCTTAAGATATCTGGCAGCCTTATCCCATACCTTTCGATTTTCTTGGTACCGTAGAGTTCTTTCTTCCCCTGCCTTTACCATGTGTTTACGAAACAGGATTGCAAGCTTCATTGCACTCAACCTCTGCATTAATGACCCCAACAAGTTAATGCACATCCCCAGCACATTTTTTGCTTCTCTCTTAGAATTTACGACTAAAACCAACTTCATTTTCAACAATGAACATTTTCTTCAAATAGATGGTTTAAGTATGGGCAATCCTGTTTCGCTCATTCTTGCCAATATATTTATGACCCAGATCGAAACACAAGCCATACATTCTGCGTTTCATCCCCCACTATACTGGTACAGATATGTCGGTGACACTTTTGCTGGTTTCACTTCTACAGAACACACACTAACTTTCTTTAAACACATAAATTCCATTCATCCCAACAACAAAATTACCATATAACACGTAAACAATAAACAGTTATATTTTCTTAACCTCAAAATTATTAGATCAGACACACAGTTTAAAACCAAAATTCACCGCAAGAACACACACACTGGCCTCTACATCCCCTGGAATACCACTCATGACACCATACAAAAAAATCAATACACTTAAAAATCTCATAAACACAGCCACAAGACTGTTCAACATACTACATAAATGAATAAATTAACCACATAAAGCATTCCTCTATTCACACTAATAAATTCCCACCAGCTATTTTTGAAAAACTTTCCAACATTCCCCACAGCAAAACTCAACTCACAAATAAAATTGATACTAACAAACCCAACTGCAGTTTACCTTTTGTTCCTGAAACCAGCTCAAGAATTATCCACACTTGGACAAAACTAGCTATTAAACACAATATTCCTGTCAACGTCAAATTCTCACAAAAACCCGACCCTAAATTAAAATCATTACTAAAAAAAA